GTCCGACTGCCATGCTCACTAGCTTGGTGGCTTCATCTGTCCAGGTGTGAGTGGAGGGGGAGATAGCATAGAGTTGCTGAGCAGACTTTCCAACTCACATGTACTTTCTTGTGTGGGGCTTTTCCTCTTGCCGAAGAGATGAGGCTTACAAAAGACACCATCAGATTTTCTGCCAGTTTAGTACCTGTTGCCTTTATTGCATCCTATGTAACTAAAAACATTCTCTGTTATCCTTTAATGAATAAGTTCTGTTTTTTAACTTAGAAAATAGCCAGATTGGGATTTAATGCAACTTCCATGCTACGAAAAAGCCAGCTGGGTTTTCTCAATGTCACCAATTATTGCCGGTAAGACAATGCCTCATTGTTACATTTCTCTCATGAATGTTCTTTTCCTCTTTCTTATTTACATGGTCCAAGAATCCAATCAGGCTAGACCATGCAGCTACCTTGCGAGAGTCTTAACAGTTGAGGGACTCCGGTTCACAGTCTGCTGTCTGCTGCTTCAGCCAGCCTTGAGGCACTCATTGTGTCTATCCCAAGAAGGAGACTTTTGCAGGAGGCTAGGAAGAAAGGATGAGGTTGAGGCAGAAATTACTCAAGTTGTTTACTCTGTTACTCATAAATCACTTTTATTTCTTATTTTATTTTATTTTATTTTATTTTTGAGATAGGAGCCTCAAGCCGTCCCCCTGGGTAGAGTGCCATGGCATTTCAGCTCACAGCAACCTCCAACTCCTGGGCCCAAGCAAGTCTCCTGCCTCAGCCTCCCAAGTAGCTGGGACCACAGGCACCCGCCAGAACACCCGGCTATTTTTTGGTTGTAGCCGTCATTGTTGTTTGGCCCAGGCTGGATTCAAACCCACCACCTCGTGTGTACATGGCTGGCGCCTTAGCCACTTGAGCCACAGGTGCCGAGCCCACAAATCATTTTTAACAGAAGGTTCTAAGTCTTCATTCCTTTGAGATTTCTGCCTCCTTCTCTTCCATCTAATGAGTTGTCACCAAAAATGGATGTGTGTGGGCTTGGCACTTGTAGCTCAGTGCGCCAGCCACATACATCAGAGCCTGGGCCTGCCAAACAACGACAACTACAACGAAAAAATAGCCAGGTGTTGTGGCTGGTGCCTATAGTCCTAGCGACTTGGGAGGCTGAGCCAAGAGAATTGCTTACGCCCAAGAGTTTGAGGTTGCTGTGAGCTGTGACACCAAGGTACTCTTCCAGGGCAACAGCTTAAGACTCTGTCTCAAAAAAAAAAATGGGTGTGTGTATTAAGCTTAATCAAAATACTTGGGTTGGCTGACACAGTTCTAACTAAAATCCTGGGAGAAAAGTAGATACTTCTCGTTTCCTGAAGAAGAGATTATGGCTCAGAGGGGAATGATTTGCTAAAGTCAAGCTAGAAGGGTGGGAACTATCTATCTGACTCTGACATCTGAGCTTCTAACACTGGCTGTATGTGGTTGGGTGAAGAAATGTGCAATCGAAGTGCTTCCTGGGGGCACAACACTCTTCATCTTGGGGCACTGCCCCTTCAGGGAAGGCCAGCCATGTAGGGAGGTTATCAGGCAGGTGCTAAGAGAGCATTAGAGGCCTAGTTAGATCTGTTTTTCATCCTAAAAAATAGGCTTCATTGTTTGTAGGGAAGTGCTGTGGGAGAGAAAAGGGACAGTATAGTGGGTGGTAGCATCCCTAGGTACATCACAGAAGCAGCAGCTGTGCTAGGTAATGTAGAAACAGACTCCTCTAGTTCCAGCTCTCTTGATTCTGTGAATGGCCACCCAGTTCTTTGTTTTCTCTTTCCTCTGCGTTCTGTAGGAAAACTCAGCTTTCAGATTACCTGGAGTTTTGGTCAAGTGCGTTGCTAAGGAGTAACATGAAGAAGGCCAACTAGGAGAAGTGGTCTTTAGGGGGTGGGGAAGGGGAGAAACCCCTGAATCTTCATGGATGTCCATTATGGCATCCATGCTCCCCACCCCCCTTCCCTCTGCAGTTTAGCCCACGAGCTGCGTGTGAGCTGCATGCAGAGAAAGAAGGTCCACATTCACAGCTCAGATCCTTCTGCTTTGGCAAGCGACCGATTTAACCTCATACTGGTGAGTTGGGGGGAAACATCTGTGGCTACCTGGATGCTTTGTGGCTTGGTGATGGTGGTTATCAAGCCAAGCTGTGCGGGAGCCAGTTGCTGTAAAAGTGGTGGTGTCTTTTCTTTACCATCCTTACCTGCCTCCCAGCTACCCATTGGTAGGAACTGACTTGGCAGGGCAGGTTGTGCTATGAACTTTAGCACCTCCACTTCAGCTCTTGTCATTTGGCATTAGCGCCTGGGCTCAGCCACACCTAAGAACCATTACAAAATAACTTCTCTTTGGTTGTGTTGTATATGCAGGTGGAAAAGTATACAGTAGCCCAGGGGCTTCTAATCCTTCCTAAACTGGGGCAGGATTTGATGTTAAACCTGAAGCTCCAACATGCATCAGTGGCAGGGGCCTGTAGGCCTGTGTCCCTGGGCCTGCACATTGGCACACCTCCACCACATCATTTGCAGGGAGTAGAAAGTTTTCTCTGCTTTCAGTTAAAACCTGAGCTGAAAGCTGAGGCCAGAGAAGTATTGGCAGAGAGGTAGAGGGTCCACTGCAAACAGAAGGAGCCTCACCTCTCTATGGGCCATGTGAAGAGGAGCTCTCCCTGTTCTCTTGGTGGCCAAGAAGAGTGAGAGGAGGACACAAAAGGAAAAAAAGCCTGTATCCTACTGGCAGGAGCAGAGGCTAATGCTACCAACTGATCCTTGGACTTTACTCTCTCCATGTGTCTGGGGTACAGTTGTATCTGAATCAGGAGAATATTTTCTTGTTTCTAGTTTCCCCTTCAAATCCCCTTCCCTGGGGTAGAGCAGGTGGGGCCAGTGGAGGTCAGTGTGTGTGGAGTCTGGTGTGCACTTGCTATGTATTAGAACCCAGGCCCCTCGATCATGCTTGTGTCACCTTACACAAGCTGTGTGCGTGTGGCCCTTGATAGATCTTCCTTGTTGCCCAACATTACAGGTAATCCAGGCTGGCTGGTGTGGCCAGAGAGCCAGGAAAGGCAGTTTGCCACCCACAGAGCAATTTTTCAGATCTGACTCAAGTCACCAGTATTGATTGCTCCAGGAACATGACTGTTCTTCCTGAGTTGGTGCAGTTTCACCAGTATCTAAACCCATGTGTTTGTGTATCTTTATTAATATATACAGAGCACATAAATAGAGCTTTTGCTTTGAAATAATTAATTATATCATGTTTTAAAATAAGAAAAGATAATCTTGGCTCGGC